AAAGGAGATTATACTTTTAATATATAATCTATCCTATAAAATATTTTTTTATTGTGAAAAATAAAATGTTCATTTTCCAGATCGGAAAAATTTAATTTGTTTTTTAAATTTATTTAAATAAATTTAATGAAATAATATAAAAAAATAATTTTATTAAAAATATTTAAATAAATTTATAAAGGAGATTATACTTTTAATATATAATCTATCCTATAAAATATTTTTTTATTGTCAAAAATAAAATGTTCATTTTCCAGATCGGAAAAATTTAACGTTTCTCTCTACTTCAAATATATTTGATACTGTTTGCAAGTTTAGGGGTGGATTTACCACACAAATGGATGAAAACTTACTCGAGACAAAATTGTAAAATTAAAGGGACAATTAATGAACAGAAGTAATTGAAAATTTTCAATTTTTATAGATGCATATTATTGAAAATTTTCCTACTAATTATTTGTTAATTCGAATAAAATGAATTTAATTTTTTAAAATAAAATTTTGTATTTAAATTTTATAAATAAAATAATACACGTGAAGAGAGACTTCCATATAACCTCCAAAGTGTGACCTTCAGATAGCAGGGTAGTAAAAAAAAAAATTATTGAAAAATTTCCTTCCTGTAGCTGGAAGGCCCTGGAACACCTAGCCGTCCTTGGCACCATTTCCACCACTGCAGCGAGACAGTGACCATAAAACAAAATAGTAAAAAAACATCCATTTCACATTTTTTATTTTTTTGAGAAAGACAATGGTTAGAGGTGTTACCGTATTAATGTGTTAAAGGTGTTAGCGTGTAGAGAGAGTATTAAATCCTAAACATGGAATGCAAATCATAACTTGCCTCAAAGAACAACAAGTGACTGTTGCGCCACGCACGTGAAATGCATTCTTCTCACTTCTTGGATTGCTGAAGTAAATCAAACTCTCAAAACTTTCAAAACCTCATGAACAATGCAACAAGAACCTAACATTCACGAGCCAAAAGATAAAAACCTAATACGAAGTTGTAAATGAAGTCATGTAGTAGAGCTTTGACCCAAAACCTTGGTGCAGCAGTCTTAATTAATTGTCCCAAAATCCATACTATAAATGAACATAACTGTACGCTGCTAAAGTCAACGGACCAAAAACTTAATCAATAAGCCTGAATAAGAAACATGCGAGGGGAATAAAGCTGTTTGGTTTACATTTTGAACTCAATTGAATTTCTTACTAACAGGTACGTTAATTTTGGCAGAAGTGAGGTTCCCTAGACAAGCATGCAGATAGGTTTTGACTTGAGGCATTAACCATCCATGGGTGGGCGGTTGAGATGGTTGACTTATTTATACATCTCACCCTTTTGGTTGTTGCCGCCACAAGATTAAGATACAATGAAAAATGAATGCGGAGCAAGGGGTATGGGATTTCATTTGGAGCAAAGAAGGGGAGTGGGAGAAACAGTTGAGGAGAAATGAAGAAATGTGGTTCAGTTGTGTAAATTGGAGGTATAGATTAGAGCAAAGAGTGCATGAAGTTAGGGGAAAAAAAAATAATTAGGATTCACGTATACATAATTTTTATACATGTTAATTAAATAAAATTTTGGCCATATTACTTAAACTGCATACAATTCAAACTGTGAAAGTATTTAAATATCCATACTGATGTTAAGCTTATTTTGATACTTTCATATATAGTTTGGATTGCACTTCTTTTGCAGTCCGATTCAAATTAGAGGACTAAAATGTAAAAATTCAAAATACAAAACAGATGCAGAAAGCCACGCGTAAAGCAACTGGCTTTCCACTTCTGCGTCCACGTGGTGTTCATCATATCAACCCGGTTCATATTTCTGCATGACGTGCACATGGCATGACACAAAACATATATTATAGACAAAGTATTTTTTCACAACATACTAATTAAGAAATTAAGTTCGTCACAGGAAACTCCATAATTAGCTAGAACTGAAATATTTCATTCGGCAAGGTTAGTGGATCTGGCATGACAGCCTCTACTAATGGTGCAAAGTTAGTGACAGCTCCAATGCTCTCCTGTGCCTGTAAAATTAAGATAAATTACAGTATTTGGGGTTAGAATATGCTTTATCCTAAATATATTAATTCAATCAAATGTACAATTTAATTTTACTTATTATATGTCTTTACCTTCTCTTGGAGAAGCGTATTTAGGGCTTTCAGCATGCCCTCCTATATATTGCACCAAGAAACCAATAATATATTTGATCAGTTTTGATGCAGGAAATTAAATCAAATATGGTAATCCTAGAGGGACCAAAACCCTCAAAGCTCAAAAATTGATGACCAACCGACGGGATGTTTATATTTTTCTTCTAATAAATGATGAACTTCAATAAAAAAAAATATTAAACCTTAAATTTCTAAACCCTAGTATCTTACTAACAATCTTAAAAGTCTCAAGTTATGAAAACTAGAATAAACCTTAAAACCTTAAATCATAAACTATGAATTGTTCTGAAAATTGATCCTAATTAACTATAATTATTCTTTTTTAATTAAGAGATTTTCTAATTTATACCTTTAGTACAAGTTAAACCTTATTGATTGCAACATTTGTAATTAATTTTATATAAATTTTTATACAATATTTAAATAAAAAATAATATAAAATGTAAAAATATAATATAATATAATATTTGTACTCAAAATCTATAAAATTTATAAATCTAATATAAAAATTTATACAAAATTAATTTAAAATATCTTAATTAACGAGTTTTAATCCAAACTCTTAGAATACAAGTTACACAAACCCTTTAATTAAAGGGAGGAAGGTTATGGTTTTCTTCGCTTGTCTAATTTTAATTGAAAAGGATGAAGACATGGAGCTCACTTCAGAGTTCAGACTCATTCCTGTTATTTTGAAAATGATACACATGTAATGATTTTTATTTTTACAATAATATATCCAATATTATGTGATATTTTATGATTTTTTATTAAAACCACACATAAATCAATAAACATCCAATTATATATATATATATATATTGTAAAAAGGAGAAAAAAAACATAGTACTCGTGGCATTGTTTATATATATATATATATATTGTAAAAAGGAGAAAAAAAACATAGTACTCGTGGCATTGTTGCTATCATTTTTTTAATAAAATTTTTTTGTGCAATCTAATTAAACTAGAGACAGAGCCAATGTAGGAAAGGGGAGCACCTGCCCCCCTAAGCTTTTGAAAGATTTTAAATATGATACATTGATTTTTATTTTCTACAAAATTTTGTTTTTCAAGTTTTTGAATTATTGGAACCATTTCAAATATAAAGAAAAAATATATATATATATATTTTAGAACATAGGTAAAGGAATCATTTTTCTTTTTGTAATTAATTTTTAAGATATTATAATTTGATCTAGATAAGAAAAAATATTAAAAGAAGTCAAGATCTAAATAACTACATTGATGTAATTTATATAAATTTTTACATTAGTTATATATAATTTTTTTTTATACAATTTACATTCTATGGAAATATTGGTTGGATTTATTTTATTTATATAAATCATGCATTTCAAATTTAATTATTTTGATATAGGTAACCATTCAAAAAAATAAATATATTTTTATACTATTTATTTAAAGATTGTTAAAGTATATATCATTCAAAATTAGCTAAATATATCTAATTTTCTTGATGAAGCTAAATATATCTAATTAATTTAAAATTTTATGTGCAAACTTAAATGGTATATACATAAAATTAGCAACCGAAATAAAAATTAATATAAATTATACTAATATTAACTAATAAATAACTCATAAAAAATTTTAACTTTTTACCCCACTAACTTGAATTTCTGGCTCTGTCCCTAATTTAGACATCGGACTCCACAAATAAAACCATTGAATGGATGGTGAATCACTTAATTGATATCGAAACCCTTTGTCCATCTAACTATTTCTATTTTGTACTTTAATATAGTTCATATTACAAAGTAGAATTTTCTTTCTTGAATTAAGCATAGCACACATAAATTAATAAGTAAAAGCATCATTGCTCACCTTGTCCCTCAGCGACTGCATCTCTTGAAGCATTATATCCATCTGTAATACTCAATGAGACAATCCATTAGTACTACAAACTTCTAAAAATGGTTAAACTTCCAATTTAGTTCTTCAACTATTATATGGAGCCTTGATTTGGTCCTTAAACTAAAAAAATCTCTGATTTGGTCTCTATTATTTACCAATTTGATCTCAAGTTAGTTCTTTGGTACAAAAGCAGATGATGTGTTTCATTGTTAATGTGACACATAACCGTTAAATAATGATTTTTTACTATTAAATAATGAATACGTCAACTATTTTTTAATAGAATTTGGGGTTAAATTGATAAACAGTAAGAATCAATTCAGGGACTTTTTTAGTTAAAAGATTTTTAGTTCAGAGAACAAATCAAGAATTTATGCAATAGTTGAGGTACTAAATTAGGGATTTAACCAAAAAAAAAACAAAAATACTTATCTAGATTTGTCTTTTTTTCTCTCCTCCCTATTAAATGTATTAATTTTTTCATACATTATAATTATCACTGCAATTGATTTTCCCTTTTACATCGGACGACACTTCGCAATAAATTTGGAGTCAAGATCCACTTTTAACATGTGTAATTCTTGAATTATCAACTGTTGATGTCTACATTAAATGGTTGAATGACTGTTTTATTTCCCTTGGGATTTTATATAGTTTACACTTAATTTGATATCAAGATCCTAAACATTTACTTCTTAAATTATCTGTGATTTCTAAATCTAATAATTAAAAATTTTAAAAATTAACAGTTCATAATTTATGTAAGATTTACATATCTGTAATCAAATATTACCTCGTTAATTTGACATATATTAGTCCTTGGTATTTGAATAATGGGGAACTGGGTTAATACTAATATACCTTTGCTGAACGTGCATGACAAATCCGAAGCTCAAGATGCTTCTCGAGCAGAAGCAGTTCATCCAATGGCATTGTCCCAACTTCAATTGCTCCCTCAAACATGTACCTACTGAGCGAGGTTATAAATATTACCAGTCCATCTCTTTTTTTAGAATAATTAATTAACAAGTGTTACTGTACTTAGTAATTAAAATGATACCTGAGACATTTTTGGAGTGTATCTATCTCTTGTTTCAGCATGTGGACCTCTTCTTTTACCACATCCTAGTTGCATAATATTGCCCATCAGTGTGATCATAAAATAAAGGCAAAGGGACATATTTTGTAATTAATTTTGGTAATTAAAAGAAGTAAAAAAAATTACCAGTATATTGAAAAAATAACTAGAAAAAACAAGTTCTAAAAAATAAAGAGTTAATTTTTCATACTCTAGACTGCACCGAAATCGTACAAGGGACCTTTGAATTGGAGATAACCCTTAGTCCAATTCATCCAAAAGTTAGTCTAATGTAATTTCTCACAATTTAAACTACACTAAACCTTTTTGATAAAAAAAATATGATATATTGTATATGTAACATAAATTTAGAAGGGAGAATTGTTATGTAAGATGCTTTCCACGGAAAACATTCAAAAAATATTATATTTTAATTAATATTTTAAAAAGCAATTATTGAATTAAAAGTTTTATTTATGTAAATTATGTATATTAATTTCAAATTGATTTGATAGTCTTAATTAGTTTTGTTAATTTCACAAAATTTAATATTATTATATAAAAATATCAATAAATAAAGTTTTTTAATAAAAAAATTATAAATATTTGATTAATTTAAAGATTAACATATATAAAAATATTTAATTTAATGATTGATTTTTAAAAGTATTAATTATAAGATTAATTTTTAAGTAAATCCTTTAAAAAATTTTTGGAATGACTATTAACACTACATAACCTCAATCTAGAAAGTGTGATGCGAAATGTAGGGGTATTAGCATATTGTGTGCCTAATGCACCTTCCCCCTGCACAACTCCCCTTCCGTACTAGCCACCAAAAGAAGAAACAGGGTTAATTCTGATACCTAACGTACCCTGACTCACTAGATTTACCTCCTTAGCTATTGCTAATTTTTTAAAAAAAAAAATTTATGAAAAAATATTTTATTTATTTATTTAATTAAAAAAATTAAAATTTATTTAATAAGATAAATACAAGTTCTTTTTGTCAATTAAATCACAATTTTTAAGGTCTAAGTTACTTTATTAATTATCTTTCCACACCTAAAAATAGTTTAACTGTAGTTATAGACACGTGACAATGCCCAACAAATCCAACTATTAAGATTCTTCTTGAAGGATTAGCTTAGAAAGCACGTAGTTAGGAACAACTGACAACTTATTAGAGCATACTAATCAAGAAGTAACTAAAATATCAACCATGCTCATTTAACCTTATCGAATCACACTCTCTATCCTTATCTAGACATGGCACAATCATCTTCTCCCTCAATTTTCTTCAACCTCAAGTTTCCTTGTATAATCTCACCCAGGGTACACAGCACCCAACTTTTTCATTTTGAGTACCACACTATATTGAGTGTTGGGGTGCCAAATCAAATCGACACCAACTTCGATCTCTGGCTAAGGCTGTCGTCGCTCTGTTTTGCAATTCACGTAGACCTACAGGAAGCCTGGCATCCTGATTGTCAATTCTTGGTGATGTACCATACCCCATCAATTAGTGGTAATAATGATTTCAAGGTCAAAATTTCATGCGTGGGAAATACTACGAATAGATCATCACCTTCGATTACATGGGGCCATGTGGGATCGCACACTATTGTCAATGGCCATGATCTCTTCGGCCTATTTTTACCCAGGAATTTTCGGCCTTTTGGAATCAATTTCCATCAAAATGTTTCCGGGTGCTGAATTACACGACGAAAAAATGGGACGAAACCGTGGGACGACATACCACGACCATCAACACGTGGTGGGTCCCACGCTTTTAGTGGCTCTCATGTGTTTTTTTTTTTACCCATTTTAGTCCCATAATTGTTGTCCCATTCATCATTTTCCAAAGTATCCGTGTGTAAGATAATCAAAGCCTAGGTCTAGTGAATATCCAAAATGTCATATAATTAGAATACTACATGATTTTTAAATTTATAATATGATTTATTTTTATATAATTAATTTTTTAATTTAAAATTTTATTTATAATATTATATATATTTATTTAATGATACATTATATTTATTTAATAATATATTATAATTATAAATTTATATTTTTATGTATTATTATAAAAGAATTAGTGTTTATATATTTTTTTTCTTGAAGATTAAGAAAAAAATTATTCTAAAATTATACCAATTAAATAAAACAGAACAAAAAAGAATTAAAAATATTTTAATTCATATTTTAAAAATAAAATATTTAAATTTTTTAAATAAAAATTTATTAAAATAACATAATTTTAAAATAATTTTTTTCTTAATTTTAAGAAATAAGACGAATGCACTATTCTTTATAATTATAGAATTACTGCTGGTGATATAGTACTAATTGAATGCTTTTTTTCAAAAATGAAAAAATTAGTGACAGGAAACCTTATCTTGACTTAAATTGAAATATTATCCTCTTTATCTCAAATGTTTTTTCCTTTTATTTTGGGCCGAACCCTTATCTCCAAAATGTTATTCCAAACCTCCGAAGCACTAATAATGAACAAGCGACACGACAGGAAGTATGAATTCTAAAGAAGCACTATGATATTAATGCAAATTAACGTTGTCCTTAATCCTCATTTAATTATCAACTACTCCTATTAGAAGTAAAATAAAAATATATATTTATTAGTACTAGAGTTAGCATCCGATGCTGCCACAATAATTTTTGAATAAATAGAAATAATATTCCATATATATGTAACTGCCTTTCAAAAAAAAAAAAAATTCCATGTGCAACTTTTTCAATACACACAAAAACTTATATACAGTATAATCTCAAGAAAAATTTTATAGCAAGAAGAAGGACAAGCATAAATAAAACTCACCAGATTCTGGGACATCTCCATGGTCATATGATCATCAGGCTGATCTCCCCGCCGGTGGCCGCCGCTGGACTTCATGTACTTCTCAATTAGCTCTTGCATAGTCCTTACACATTGAAAAGTAAAGAGCTTTGAGTATATCACCTACTTAGTTAATGAAAACTATAAATTTTTTTTTAAAAAAATTATTAATACTTTTCTAATCTTTTTCTTTTATAAAAAACATATATTAAAGAATGTGTTTACATCTTTTTTTCTTGATATTTTGTTACAGATGAACTTGTAGGCATATATATAAAATCCTAAAAGAGTAAAGTCCTTTTAATTGAAAGCCTTAAGTTTAAATACATGCATTTTTTTTATAAAGATGAGTCACACATGCGAAGAGTGATCACTCAAATCTTAAACATATATAGGTACATGGGAAGGAAGGAGCGAATATCATAAGAAAATATATAAACGACCGTACTTTATTTCCATAACAGATCATCAAATGAAAATAGAAAGACACACACAAAAACAAAAAATAGCAATAGAAACAAAGAGAGAGAGGGGGGAAGATACCCTTCTGTAGCTAGTTCATAGAGCTTTCCATGATCGGAGATAATAAGAAGGCCAATTTCTGCATCACACAGCACAGAGAGCTCTCTAGCCTTCTTAAGAAGTCCTGCTCGGCGCTTGCAAAAGGTAACCTGCCGGTGCACTGGATTCTCAATCCGCTTCATCTGAACCTTTCCACGAACCATATATCTTGATTGAAATTTACCCTAGGAATGATGAAATTAAAGTGATTTTTTTCTTTTTCCTTTTTGCAGACAACCTTCCACTAGTATTAACTAGCTTCGAGGCTGTTGCAATTCCTCCTTCCCCTCCACTCAATTTGCTTAACTATGTTACTATGGAGTCTAATGTGGAGGGTTCAGGCCATATATAGTCCCTCCTTTCCCTACCACCTTCTCGATTCCCTTAATCTCCGCCTCTAAAGAATAATTGGTCAGTCTCCCTTTAAAACTCACTATGCTTTTCTTAATTAATTTCTCTGGCATCAATAAGCTTTTTCTTTAATCTAACACTCTTCCTTTATGCTCCCTCGAATTCTTCAAATTCAATGCTATCTCTCGTCGCATCAATTATGCGATTACTACTTGCACAAATTCTTGCAAAATCAAAGTGACAATTAACCTAATTTTGATAATATTTTTATACCAACAGCACTTGACTTTTTGTACATTGAGTTAGACGATGTCGTTTCATATAATTTAATTAGCATTTGATTTTTTTTTACAAACATCTCGATATCCGATAATCACATTGGATCCCGACTAATTCGGAATCCAATTGCATTGAATCTCATTTGAGGAGAAGCTTTCTCAGCACCAATTTCTCCATTCACAAGACTTAAACTCGAAATCTTATTTAAAGAGAATAGAACTCTTTCCATTTGGACCAACATGGCATTGGTTAATTA